GCTCTCCTGCATTTCCTTGGTGAGTTCACCCCTTGCAGCAAGGAGTAAGGGGTGGGACCATTTCTCCTACTTTCGTGTTCTCAGGGTCTGATCTCCCACACCTACTCACCTTCAGGGCCAGCTCTACTGTGTTGTCCGGCCATGGCATAGGGGCCATCCTCCCAAGTACTGTAGCATGGGGCCAGCTCTCCTGCCCTTCTGACCTCAGGGCCAGCTCTTTCACCTGCCTTAGGCATTGGGGGTGGGGGGAGACTCTCCCAGACCCATGCCGCCACATCACAGATAAGTAATGGGGACAGCTCTCCCATGCTCACAACTTCCTGGCTGGCTCACCCACACCTCTGCCAAGTAAATGTTCTTTGTTATTGTTTTTGTTTTTTGGTTTTTTTTTGTTTTTTTAACAAAAACTTTACTGGCTCACAACCCTGTTAGTTGTTGATAAGTCTAAAATCAAAGGACCAGCCATTGATGAGAGTCGGCTTGCTGTACCATCCCCTGTTGGAAGGGAGAAGACAAATAACCAAAGGATGGGAACATAAGAATGAAAGAACCAAACTAGGTTCAAACATAGGCTTCACCCTTCAGTTTCAGCAGTCAGGAAGCAGAGGCAGACAGACTCTGTGAGTTTGAGGCCAGCCTGGTCTACATAGTAAGTTCCAGGACAGCCAGGGCTCCACAATGAGACTCTTTCTGTCTGAGAGAGAGAGAGAGAGAGAGAGAGAGAGAGAGAGAGAGAGAGAGAGAGAGAGAGAGAGAGAGAGAGAGAGAGAGAGAGAGAGAGAGAGATGAGACTCTGTCTGAGAGAGAGAAAGAGAGAGAGAGAGAGCGAGAGAGAGAGAGAGAGAGAGAGAGAGAGAGAGAGAGAGAGAGAGAGAGAGAAACAGAGAATGAGAGAGCTAACAGTATTACTGCTTATTGCTCTTGAGTTAAAACACCTTCAAAAGTTCCTACCTTTCAAGACCACTGCTTTGATAAATCAAGTTGCCAACATATAAAGCTTACTGGGCACATTCACAGTGTAACAACCTGTATCGTTTGTAGGGGTGGTTGTCTGGGCTTTACCCTGAAGCACCGCCCCTAGTAGGCAACAGTTAACTGCTAGGTACGTGCCCCCCCCAGGGGGCGTGGCCGAGACAGGGACACCTTAAGACCTGGGATGGGATGTGCTCATGCTCTCTTGGCTACCTCGTGGTCTTGGATGCTGGATGCTGGTGCTGCGGATCAAGGCAGAATTCTCCAGAGAACTGCATTGGATCGGGCCCCACCCCTCCTGGATCCTGCGACCAACTCCTTTATGCTTGTTGTGAGTTAACCCAGAATTAAATCCCTTTGATTATCAGATAGACTCCGTGGAATTTCCACATTAATCATTGCCTAGCCTTGAGTTACCCATACACAAAAAGAATATAATGTAAGGACTGACCTAAGTCCATCAAGATCATGAAACTTGCTATGTTGCGAAGGCCTCTCCACAGAAAGAAATATGTTTGCATCTTCTGCTCGTGGATGGAAGTTTATCATCTCAACGCATCTAAGAACAATATCTGACTACCCATATAGCTCCACTAAGCACAGTGGAGAGTAACTTTTATTTGCAGAGTAGAAAATTCATCCAAAATAAAGTATTTCGAACAGAAAGAATACTAATATTCAGACACTTTCACACAGCACTAGCTCTGTGAACCTTCATCTGTTGACATCAACTTAATTTTATCTGTATTTTCTGCATCACTAAGAAGTCCCCAGGGGCCAAGAGGAAATTCTGAGTGCTTCTCTGTAGCTGTTGCTAGGAAACAACATCTTTGGTATCTGAGTTCTCAGACTGAAACGCTGTGTGAAGTCACTGGTTCATAAAGGAAAACCTTTGGTAAATAGATTGTTTAGGTGTGAGTAAATTGATGTTCTCTCTCTGTGGCAAAATGTTCTTGGGTAACCTGTGAATAATAGTGTGCTTCTAGCCTCTATTCTTTGCTTGGATCCAGCTGCCATTATTGCTCCCATGAGAACTCCAGAATCTATATAAATGGGAGTGAGCATTCTCTTTTTCTCCCAAATCATCTGTAATTATCTCGGTGCCTAGAGCACTGTGAGTAATGAGTTTTAGTTAAACAAAGTGAAATGAGCTTGGAAATAAAGACCCAGACCACTGACTGCTTGCCTAAGTTGTTGAATACTGTAGTCCCTCTCATCTACAGGGAGGTATGTTTCTGGACACCCAGCAAACAGATGCCCAAAGCACTGCATATGCCAACCCCAAGTAGACTATGTTTTTCCTTTACATACAGATCTAGGACATAAATTAGGCAAAAGAAAAAACAAGTAATCACCACAATAAAACAGAAACAATTATAAATGGAACATACATAATGACAGCTATAACAAACTTTAATCAGGCTTGTTTAAATATAGTCTCACTATCAAGAAGGGTTACTGGAATGTGAGCACTGCAATACTGAGACAGTTTATTGGATAACTGACATGACTACCATGTGGTAGATGGATGGGAAGGATAAACAGATGGGCAAGGATGTGCTGGACAAAGAGGTCGCTTGTATCATGGATGGGCTAGAGCAGGAGAACATGGGATTTCATAGCACAACTAAAAATGATGTATGATATATTTATGTTTAGAATTTTCCATTTGATATTTCCAGATGGCAATTAACTGAGCCACCTAGACTGTGGGAAAGGGAATTTTACATAAGAGAGAACTAACGTGCATATTAAAATCTGCTTTGGCTGGTTGTCACATTCAAGTTTTATTTAGTGTTATGCTGCTGCCCAGAAGTAGAAGCTAACAGGGCTGCCAGTTTGGCTCATCCACTCTCTTCTCCTCTCTTAACTCAAACTACAAACTGTCTGTCAGTCTCACAACTTGAACTTCTACTTACATTTTTCCCCTAGATTCTGACAACTGAAGCAGTAGCTGGAGGTTGGAATCTATCACCTTGTTAATTTAGCAAGCCTAGAGCAAGCCAGAAGCTTTTCATTCCTACATGTGGAAATTATGCATCTTTGTGTTTATCTGTCAGTCTTTCTATGTATCTGTCTGTATGTCTGTCTACCCATCCACCACCTATCTATTCATCTATCCATCTATCACTTATATATCTATCCATATCCATCCATCATATATCTATCTCTCCATCTATCCATCACCCATATATCTACCCATATATCCATCACCAATCTATCTATCCATCACCTTTCATTCATCCATCACCCATCAATCTACTTATCAAACCATCCATCACATATCTATTTCTCCATTAATCCATAACCCATCTTTCTATCTATCCATCCATCACACATCTATCTGTGTCTCCATTCATCCATCACTCAGCTATTTATATACCCATCTATTCATCAATCCATCACCCAACTATCTATTTATGTATCTTCTGTAGAGCTGTTCATGGATTCTTATGAGATACTCAAGACAATGTTAAGCATCAATATCACACATTCATATCCAAATCTGACATAAATCTCCAATGCACCAATTAATTCAAGGTAGATTGTGTTAAAGAAGATAACACAGCCTCTCAGAAGCAATGTTTATATATAACAGTAAATATCTTCTATTTCCATCTCTGTATTTGGGTCATTGTTGATGAATTATTTCATATGGATATTATTCTTTTGGAAAGAGAGAAAGTTCTTTAGTCTAATGGATGATGGTTTAATGAGAAATTAAATATACTGTAATATGTTGCAATAAATGGTAATTTTATAAAGTATCAAGTATAAAACAGGTATTATTCAATAAATTCAGGAATAAGAAGTTTAAAAAGTTTTTTGAAGAGGAGTTTTAATTATTTTAAGAAGTAAAATTGAGACTTTTTTTCTTATATACACATATACAAAAAGGGTATGATAAGAATGACTAAAATTTATTTCATTCTTGGAGTGGTAAGTTGGTGCAATTCTTTGACACTTACATTCAGCTTCCAACTATTAAACTTAAAAAAAATCTTGGAAAGATGTTACTGCTTTGATCAAAAGTAGGCCAGTATTATGCGTACTACAAAGAGCTCATAGGGTTATCTTTGAAACATGTGTCAGTAACTCTAATTAAAAAATGATGCTTTTTTATTTGAGGTGAATATAAAAAGAAAATGGAAAAATCAACTATGTGTTTAACTGGTGAAAATGGATTTTAAATAAGTCAAATTATTTTTAGGCTTTTAAAAACATATCCATGCATTATTCATGTCATACAATTTGTTCTTATACACCATCATGACTCAGCCAGGCCAGTGGCAAATGGGGACAGACCAGAGGAAGAGAAGAGGCCATGAACATAGGACCTTCCATGCCAAAGCCAGGGGCACACTTTCAACTGTCTTTAATTTTCTCTGATTCTTTGACATTAAAGCTGACCCTCAGAGATCCAAAGAGATCAATAAAATACCTAGTATAATCAAGTATGTATATAATTCCTAAGATTTTTACCTGTATGTTACCTATAATAGTAGTAGCTATACTGGAAGGATATAAGCTTGGTTACTTTTCTAAATAAAATGTGTGTATATTTTTAAATGCCTTGATCAATTATTCAAGATTTGATCTTTCACTATATTCCCATTATCCCTTAGGCTCTCCTTTTAATAACTGTGTTTATCATTTGATTCGGTTTTTGTTCTTAGATAATACATAATCCATTTCCAGTGTCCCTGAAATGCAGCCACCCCTTGCTTTAATAAAAGAGCACCCATCCATAGATACACTAAAAACAAAATTGTAGTGGTGATACAAGGTAATAAAGTTTCAGGGAAATGATGCTCAATAAAAGTCAGATGCATCTCTTTCCTTAGTGTGGCCACTCCCAACCCGTCAGAAATAGCAGCTGATGTAGGATCTATCTGCCATTCAAATTCAAGATGATACTCTTTGCCCTAGTGTGTCATGAGTCTTCCCTCTGGCTGGAAGACTGTCTTCAGAACGCATCTCTAGATCCACTGTGCCCTGTGTGACTAGGTTGTGCTCCTTCACTTCAGATGGCTACACCACCGATGACATCGAGTTTTACTGGAATGGAGGAGAGGGAGCAGTAACCGGGGTCAATAAAATCGAGCTTCCTCAGTTTTCAATTGTTGACTACAAGATGGTGTCCAAGAAGGTGGAGTTTACAACAGGTGAAGATGTTTCTTCCCTCATAGTCCATGGGTGGATGAAAGGGAGATGGTGATTCTAATCAAATTATGATCTTCCTTCCTTCCTTCCCTCCCTCCCTTCCTCTCCCTCCCCCTCATCTCCCTCCCTCCCTTCCTTTCTCTTTCAAACCCAGGGGCATATCCACGACTATCACTAAGTTTTCGTCTAAAGAGAAACATCGGTTACTTCATTTTGCAGACCTACATGCCTTCCACACTGATTACAATTCTGTCCTGGGTGTCATTTTGGATCAACTATGATGCATCTGCAGCCAGAGTCGCACTAGGTAATGCATTCCTACTTTACCACAGTTAGTAGTAGGTCAGACCTTCAAACAAAGAGGCAATACTAGGGGTCAAAAGCAAAATCTTCATGTAGCAAGTAAAAGAACTAGACCGCAATAGGATGCTTAAAAATCAAATATCCAAGATGAAGTATAAGAGTGTTTACAATGAGTGCAACATCTTTTAGTATTTGACAAAAATTGGGGGATATGTTTCCCATTGTATGAGTGTTTGTGGATTACATGTTAGAATCTCATGACACTGTATTTTTTACCAAATGTGTGATAACCTCTTTTTTGTTCCCTGCTTTTGACTGTGGAAACACTTGTCACTCATTGTTTTAAACTAAGCATAGAGAAAGCTAAGGCTTGTGACTGTTAGCAAGCTACACCAATTGTCAGGAAATAGTATCCTTTCATTAACTAAAGTTAAAACATATGAAACTGAGTCTTTCCTTTAAATGTAGCTCATTATATTCAATGAGGCACAAACAATTCATCAGCTGTGTTAATGATCTGTGATCAAGTCAGAATAAAAAATGGTTTCCTGTTTGGTGGAACAACATTCAGAATTAATCCTAGCATGGTTGAGTAATTGCTGAAAACTGGACAGCTACATTGAGAATGATTTTTTGGAAAGTTAGGATGTGTAAAATGTGTCTGATGATCTCATGTGAGATCTCATGATCTCAAGTAGCCATGTCCATGTCTACTTTATTACTTAATACTCAGACACATTTTAGATATCACTCCAGTTTCAGAGAGAAACAGGGGAAATGTGGAAGCATCACTTCTGGCTAAGATAATATATTACATCTCTTCTCTCAATTACTAATTGGATTAATTGATTAGTATATTCCTTCACATATAGACTAATTGGCATATCTCTTCCATTGGCTGAGTACATAAGACTTGCAAAGTCAAGTGTTTGCAGCCTCATATCAACCTTAGGATTTTCCTAATTATAAGGAAAACAGACAAATAGTTTTTCATATTACATATGCATCTTCAACATACTGGGTTAATAAGAATGCAACCTTATTAACCATATGCTAGGGTTAAAGAAAACCCTGGATGATATCCAATCTACATCAGGAAAAAAAACTCAAAAGTTTGTGCTCTCTGGTTCTCTATACATTCCTATCCTCAAAGCAATGACATTTTCATTAAAGATATTAGAGGAGCTGGAAAGGTAGCTCAGTAGTTAAGAGCTTGTACTGCTCTTATAGAGGACATGAGCTCAGCTCCCAGCATCTATGTTGAGCGGCTCACAACTACCTGTAGCTCTAGCTCTAAGGGATCTGATGCCCTCTTCTGGCCTGCTTGGGTGCTTGCACTCACAGGCACAGATTGTCACAAAGGCATATAATTTTATAAAGTCAAATATATATGAAAGATGTTAACATATAATGATGTTTTGATCTTTAAAATATTAAACTAAGATATTTTAATAAACATAATTTTAAAAACATTTATTTGCTATTTTCTGATTTAAAACACTAAAAACGTAAATTTAGTGACTATGTAAATAGAATATTTCTGTCAATCACATTAGCTAGAACTATATTAGATGAAATTTTAACTTTTATTGAAAGAAATAAGAAGATCACTTATAATAGAGTTCTTACTAATCCAACATATTTGAGTTAATCACTGATCTGAACCATTTTGCTTTTTTTTTTTTTTTTTTTTTTTTTGGTTTTTTTGAGACAAGGTTTCTCTGTGTAGCTTTGGTACCTTTCCTTGGAAGTCACTCTGTGGCCTTGAACTCACAGAGATCCGCCTGTCTCTGCCTCCCGAGTGCTGGGATTAAAGGTGTGCGCCACCACCGCCCGGCCCATTTTGCTTTTTTAAATAATATTTTTACTTATTCTTTGAAAAATCATACACGTGGGCAATGTATTTTGATCATATCATACCACTACTTTCCTCTAACTCTCTCGAGGAACTTCCAACCCATCTCCCTTCTCCCTTTATATTTATTGTTGTTGTTGTTGTTGTTGTTGTTATTGATAAGAAAATCTGACTACGCATACAATGAAATTTAATTCAGCTATAAAGAAAATTAAATCATGAAAACTGCAGGTAAATGCATGGAAATGAAAAAAGGTACCTTCCCTTTCAATGGTACTCTTGATGAGTCATATCAGGGAGTCCACAATCCAGAGTTATCCTTGAGATGCTGGAAGCCCCTTTTCCCTCCCTTTGCTTTGTTCTCTTTCGTTCCCTCCACACCATTGGCTTCTCATCCTTTACACAATGCCTGTCTTTGTTTAATAACTCTCATCTTATTTCAGATATTACCATCAAATCTCTTGCTTTATTTTAAATGCTGTTGTTGAGAATCTTGCTTCTTTATCCTATAGCTGGGTGAGCTACATGAAGATAATTAACCTGGGAGTATTATTTGGTTGGTTGGTTTTGGTTTTTTGAGACAGGATCTCATGTTGCACAGACTATCCACCACCATACTCAGCTTCAGAGTTCATCTTTATCCACCTATAAAATAAGAACAATATAGTTAGTTTCCCCATCATATTCAGTGGGCTGTTGTGATACACTGTACAAATGTGGAGTCCTGGTATTAGGAGTTGCAGTACAAACTGTCTCCACAAAATTTAGCTTCTTTTTGTATTTCGCATTTTTCCCAATCATTATCATTATCAACACAATATACTCAGTATGCTGTCAAACAAGCTGTATACTGTTAATGCTGTTTAGATTTAACAAAGCAGATAAAACATAACCTGCACTGTGCTTGTAGGCATTAACTTTTTTATCAAATCTAAAGATTGATTTTTAATAAACTTTTTCCTGACATTAGGAAATGAATTTGTTACAGGCTCTGGAACCAATGAAACAGAGGTAGTATTTCAAAAATCAAAGCAACAAGATCGTATTTTATATAGAGAATACTTGATGCAAATCACAAAATTCCTTAAATATAGGTATTTAAGGCAACACCACACACAAGTGACAAGTGATTAGAAAATGTAAAATGAAATTGTGAGTGAACTGTGAGATTAAATCAATCACACCAAACTGGTCATCGACTTTGAGTCTGGCAGTGGCTTCTATGGAGATCAGGGTTACAGGGACAGATTCCAGAGGGAAATGACTGAGAAATGGAGAAAAAGAAAAGGAAGGATGTAGCTACAAAACAGAGTAAGAGACAGTTGACAGTGAGATTCCAGGGGGACTTTTTACCTTTCAATTGTGTGTGTGTGTGTGTGTGTGTGTGTGTGTGTGTTAAATTTCTAGTGTGTGAGTATATGTCTGTGTGTTATGCATACATAACTCAATGCATACATGAAGGTCAGACAATAACTTCTTAAGTTGGTTCTCACCTCCACCTTATTTTTGACAGTGGAATTTGTTCTGCTTTTCACAGCTTCTTTTCTTATATGTGTGTGCTTATTTTTTAAAATGTCATTAGCCCTCTATTATTTGTGCACTCTACGTCATGTTTTAGTAACAGAATCTAGAGAAAGCCTGCTATTTTGTCTTTAGAGATGCATGCACTCTAGTCCAGTGGCATAGCATGCTACTTCCATTGTCGCAGGACATTAAGAGTTGGCATTTGTCTTCTGGGCCTTGGAAAACAGGACTTCACAGAGGTGCCTTCAGCTAAGCTTCGGTTTTCTGTTCGCAGGAATTACCACGGTGCTGACAATGACAACCATCAGCACTCACCTCAGGGAGACTCTGCCAAAGATTCCTTACGTCAAAGCAATTGATATCTACCTGATGGGCTGTTTTGTGTTTGTGTTCCTGGCTCTGCTGGAATATGCTTTTGTAAATTACATTTTCTTTGGGAAAGGCCCTCAGAAGAAGGGAGCAAGCAAACAAGACCAGAGTGCCAATGAAAAGAATAAACTGGAGATGAACAAAGTCCAGGTAACGTCTTATATGTTACTCATATCATCTCTATTCTTTTCATCAATGATGGGGTGCCCACGAATTTTTTTAGTGGAAAAAATGTTTGTGAAGTGTTATTTGTTGTGATTAAAGCCAAGTCATCTCCTCAATTTACAGATTTGAGAACAGTGGATTAAAGAAATTAGACTAAAAAGTGTATAAATTAAGAGCATGTGTATCAGTTGTGCATGATTGTAACAAAATAGCTGAAACAGACTGATCTTATTTTTTTTTAAAGCAGTTGTTTAGCACACAGTTTTGGAGGCTGGAAGTCTTAAGAGTATAATACAACCTCTACCACTATGGTTGGTGGTAAGTTGCATGTAGGACAAAGTGACTATGTCACAAAGCAGAAAGTTAAACAGAAGTTTGGGGCTCTCAAAACCCCTCCCAAGGACAGCACCTACAGTTAACTATCCACCTCTCACTAGGCTGTAACTCTTAAAGATCTAACTCCCAACGCTGTCACACTGAGAATGGAGTTTCCAACACATGAAAAATTGGGGGAATATGCTTAACCTATTCCTCAACGGCAGTGTATGCCTATGACTGAGATGAGTCTCAAGTCCATTATAATTTATTCTAATCTATTTGTAAAGTTACACATGAAAGACTAACATGAGCTCTACTTGGTAAACAAAGGAGAGAACTACAGTGAATAGCTAGACTCTGTGAATTTAGACTCTGACCCTCAGTGGAACTGAAGTCATCCACAGAGTGGTTAAGCCACGAGCTCAGATTCAACCGTGAAAACAGCTGGAAGGGGAATTTACAAGCACTTCTCACAGAAAACCAAACAAAGGCAATGTCAAAATTTAAAAAAAAAAAGTGTTTTAAATGAAGGCAGAGTAGTTTGTATCAAACTCCCTGATAGACAGAAGTTATGAAAACCGGCAGCTTTTTAATTCTGCTTAAAGACGTATGTGACTGAAAACAAGCAAAAGATAGAAAAGAGTAAGAGTGAGTTGTACTATGAGAGCCACAGGCCATAAGGCATACAGCTTTCCCCAACAGTACTTCTGCAGAAAACTGGAGTTTTATTGGCTGAATGAGTCAAAGCATGGATGTTGATACTTTCAGGGTACCTGAAATTTCAGAAAGAAGTGAACAATAGTAGATACTCAAACTTTGAGTATCAAGTTCCTTTGAATGTGCAGGTAAGAGCCCAAGAATCCAAGATGGCCATTTCATGGTTAGTACTCAGTGTCAACTGCACAGGATGTGGACTCACCTAGGAGACTAGCCTCCAGGTGCACTTGAGAGAGATTCTTTAGTTTGGGTTAGCCTCTGGGTGTGCCTGTGGGAAATCATCAGTTAGGTTAATTGAGATTAGGTTAGAGGAAGACCCACCCTAAAGAGTGCAGCACCATTCTGTAGCTAGAGTTTTCCTGCCTGGCCCATGGTCAGGGCAAATCTCTCTCACCTGCCAGTTCCACAGCCGCTCAGACCTGACCAAGTAAACACAGAGACTTATATTGGTTACAAACTGTATGGCTGTGGCAGGCTTCTTGCTAACTTTTCTTACAGCTTAAATTAATCCATTTCTATAAATCTATACCTTGCCATGTGGCTCGTGACTTACCGGCATCTTCACATGCTGTTTGTCATCGTGGCGGCTGGCAGTATCTCTCTTTCCCTTCCTGTTCCCTTAATTCTCCTCTCTGTTAGTCCCGCCTATACTTCCTGCCTGGCCACTGACCAATCAGTGTTTTATTTATTGACCAATGAGAGCAATTTGACATACAGACCATCCCACAGCACCATTCTCTGGGTTTATGTCCTGGATTGCATAAAATAAGAAGCAGATAGCTGAAGAGAGAGCATCCATTGCTCTCTGGTTCCTGACTGTGGATGGAGTATGACCAGGCACCTCAAGCATCTATCTCAGAGACTTACTGACCATGATGGACAATATTCTTAAATTGTTGGGCAAAGTAAACCCTTTCTCCCTTAAGTTTTTTTTCTTCATAGCAACAGAAAAGGTGGCTTGGCAACCTCAAAGGGAAATACAGCTACAGACTACAAAGTAGAAGCCAAACAACAAAGTGAAACAGGTTTCAGCTGTTGTCCACAAAGTGGACTTCAGTGACTGAACTTAGAGTTTGTTTCTAGCCTACTCATGTAGTAAACATATCAGACTTTCCATTAAATCTCCCAAATGATCATAATTTTGGAATGAAGTTTAAGTCAAAGCCCACCCCCACAGTGACACACTTCCTCCAACAAGACCACGCCTACTCCAACAAGGCCACACCTTTTAATAATGGTACTCCCTTTGGAGGCCATTTTCTTTCAAACCAACACATAGACCCACTCTAGCAATACATCAAACCATGTTCCCACCTATTCTAGGTAATGTGGTACTGATTAAAGTGCCTAGGAAAACAAAACCCAAACTTCTTCAGGGTTGATAAAACAATCCAGAGTCTCTATAATACATTCATTCCAAATATCTAGTACATAGTAAAATATTAACATACCTGGACAGAAACAAGAAAATGATATCACAACCAAAAGCAGTATGACTTTAAGAATTTCAAGTGTTGACCTGAAAAATAAGCACTATAGAATAACTGTAATTAATATATTTTAAAGTCTGTAAGAAATGTAAGTACCAGCCTAGAACAGAAAGCAACCAAAATATTCTGAAATAGATTAGACAAGCTATAGTACATTCATACCATAGAATACTGTTTTCATTAGGGTCTCTATTGCTGTGATAAAACACCATGACCAAAAGCAACTTGGGGAGAAAAGGGCTCATTTCAGCTTACATGTCCCAATTGAAACCATGAAATAGAAAGGATGTAAGTCACAGGCTTGAACATGCCATTCGATGGACTAATATTGGATTCTGTGGAGAAGAAGGGATTAGTTCCAGTTCCATTACTCAGGTTCTTACCATGGACACTGCCCTTTGGAGATGCCTGAACTGGAACATGAGTCAGCTTGTACTTACTTCCTCTCTTCACTGTTTCCATGGACTCCTTTATCTCTACTGTGCAACTGCTGTAATAGCATGTGTTTGTGTAGTTATTCCTTAGCATTTTTCCTCTCATTAGACTGTAGTTTACAATGACAGGCAACTGGACCTTTGTCCACTGTATTTACTATCATTTCCTCAATGGCTACAATGGGGTAGAAACCAAATAAGTATGTCTCAGATGAATGAATAAATGAATGAATATCTGATAGACCTTCTCCATTAAGAGTTTTCAGAACTCATTCAAATTATTGAGTGACATGTCATAATTCTTTATAAATTCTTGCATCTTTATATGAAATGAGAAAAAGAGACAATCGTCCACTTTAGCTTCTGCTGAAGGTTGTCTTACTGTTCCTATTTTTTTTCATTTATGTGTGTGTGTGTGTGTGTGTTGCTGGCGATTGAACTCAGGGTCTCTTGCATACTAGGCAATGAACTCCTGATTAATAATGTTTTTATCAAACATGCCTATGTGAACCTCTGGTATTCTTTCTAAAATCACTGCGCCATATACTGTTAAAAATAACCTTCAAAGATGATTGGGCTAAGACTTTACTGACTTTGTTATTACTGGCTTTGTTATATGTAGATGGGATAATAGTTACAGAGTGTCCTAGTTAGGATTACTCTTGCTGTGATGAAATATCATGACCTAAAGCAACTTGGGGAGGAAAAGGTTTATTTATTTAAACATCACTGTTCATCATCAAAGGAAGTCAGGACAGGAACTCAAACAGGGCAGAAACCTGGAGACAGGAGCTGATCTGGAGGTCATTGAGGGGATGCTGCTTACTGACTGGCTCCCCCTAGCTTGCTTAGCCTGCCTTCTTATAGAACACAGGATCACCTGCCCAGAGATGGTCCCACCCACAATGGGCTGTCCCTATGTCATCAATCACTAAGAAAACTGCCCTGCAAGCTTGCCTACAGCCTGGGGTTTGTGGAGGCATTTTCTTAATTGAAGTTTCCTCCTTTCAGATGACTTTAGCTTGTGTCAGGTTGACATTAAACTCTCCAGCATGCCGGGCGGTGGTGGCGCACGCCTTTAATCCCAGCACTCGGGAGGCAGAGCCAGGGGGATCTCTGTGAGTTCGAGGCCAGCCTGGGCTACCAAGTGAGTTCCAGGACAGGCGCAAAGCTACACAGGGAAACCCTGTCTCGGAAAAAAAAAAAAAAAAAAAAAAAAACTCTCCAGCATATGTAGTGTCACCATCTCATGAAACTTGAAATGATCCTGCAAATGCTTGGGTCTGGCAAATCATAACCTCCTCATCTTTCTCAGTTGGGGTGTCAGAGAAGTAATGTGTCCATAAGAAACATCATCTGCTCAGCTTATCATCTCCAGATGTAAAATAATGTGTATTGTGCTATTTCAAAAACTGCTACACTGTGGTTAAATTCGAATTTGTAGAAATTATTGTATTTCCCCTTAATATGGTGGTTGGATGACCTTCCTCTTTCCCGTGAGATGCTTGTAAAAAGTTCAACTTAGTTGATATGTGTCTAGTCTCCCAGATTTTTCATATGAGAGAGCTCTAGGATTTGCCTTGGTATCCTGGAGTGTGAAGTGACATTGTTCATTATTACACATTACTTTTGATGGCCTCAACTGGGCAGTTAGGTCAAGGGATATCCAGACTGATACCTCAGAAGTGCAGACCCCGTATTGATTTATACCTTCCACCAGCTGCAGTGAAGCATTTTTTTATATGAGTGCAGATGCTGAATCCAGACATTATGAGAGTTTCAATCTCCAAGGTGATAAAGACTGTAGATTCATGAACCCCTTGGGCACCATTTGAAACGAGGGATGGTATTTAGAATTTTGAAAGACAGATTTCACAGCATAACAAGACTTTAAGCAAGCTGCCTCTGGGATAGTTCTAAACTAACCTGGAACTTTTTTAGTTGTATATACTGGCTACAGTGTCTGCTGTGTGCAAATGGATGAAATGGATGTAGGGGTGGTCTGTGACCAGAGACTACTGCAAGG